CCCGCAGGGGCCAGGCCTATGTCTGCCATCAGAAGGTGGAGGAGATCAAGGGCCACACCCCACCCCCGTCGCCGTGGCGGGACCGGCCCGCAGAGGAGTCGCTTCTGCTCTTCGAGGTGCTGCCTGGCCGGCTGCAGCCGCTGCGTCTCCATTGGGGCTGTACCCGGCTGACGGCCTCTTCCATCTCCTCAGGACATGCGGAAGGGCAAGTTTGGGGAGGGTGAGGCCACGCTGCGGATGAAGCTGCTCATGGAGGATGGGAAGATGGACCCCGTTGCCTACCGTGTCAAATTCACTCCGCACCACCGCACCGGGGACAAGTGGTAGGGGAGCATCCCGGTGCACATGGCAAGGACGGGCTGGCATCCCCGTGGCCGGCAGGGAGCGGGGCCGGTGCCGGGTCCGGGAGCGGGGCTGACTGCGCCTGCCTGCCAGGTGCATCTACCCCACGTACGACTACACGCACTGCCTGTGCGACTCCATCGAGCACATCACGCACTCCCTCTGCACCAAGGAGTTCCAGGCCAGGTGAGCGCCGCATGCAGCGCAGCCTGGAGCCCGCTGGGCAAGGCAGCCTTGCAGCTTGATACGGGGAACATCTGGGTGCAGCTTGGTGGGGGCTGGAACGCTGAGGAGCAGCGGGGAGCTGGCCAGGCCGAGCAGAAAGACCATGTGTCCATGGGCTGTAGAGCAGCACGAAGCTGAGCTGGGTTGGATCTGTGCCTGCCTTGCAGACGGTCCTCCTACTTCTGGCTTTGCAACGCGCTGGACGTCTACTGCCCCGTGCAGTGGGAGTACGGGCGCCTGAACCTCCTCTACACCGTTGTCTCCAAGAGGAAGATCATCCGGCTGGTGGAGACGGGCGCTGTCAGGTAGGCCTGGGGCCGCAGCCAGGGCGCTCTCGCTCCGCGCGCGCTCCGCTGTCACGTCGTCGTTTCCGCAGGGACTGGGACGACCCGCGGCTCTTCACGCTGACGGCTCTGCGCCGCCGAGGCTTCCCCCCCGAGGCCATCAACAACTTCTGTGCGCGGGTAGGCACCGTGCGGCCGTGCTGGACAGGCCGTGTTCCTCGGTGTCCCTCAGCTGGCGCGGTGACGCCGCTCCGTCCCGCAGGTCGGTGTGACGGTGGCGCAGACGACGATGGAGCCACATCTGCTGGAGGCCTGTGTGCGGGAGGTGCTCAACGAGAAGGCTCCCCGCGCCATGGCCGTCCTGGAGCCGCTCAAGGTCACCATCACCAACTTCCCTGCCCCGGAGGTGAGGCAGCCTCAGGCTGGGGTGCGGGGTGGGAGGCCCTGGGCAAACACTCAACCTGCTCCTCCCCAGCCTTTCGAGGTGCTCGTGCCCAACTTCCCAGCTGATGAGACCAGAGGCTTCCATAAAGTGCCCTTCCAGCCCACCATCTACATCGAGGAGACAGACTTCAGGGAGGTGAGATGAGCACGGACCTCTGCACACATCAGGCTGTTCTGCCCTCACTCCTGGGACACCACTGTGGGGATGGAGGGACGCAGCGGGAGCAGGGCCTGCGCTGGGCACCCGCTTGCACTGCTGACCTGTCCCACAGGACATGGACAAGGGCTACAAGCGCCTGGCCCCCGGGCAGCCGGTGGGGCTGCGACACACTGGCTATGTCATCGCTGTCCAGAACGTCATCAAGGTGGGTGACCGGGCCCTGGTGCTGTGAGGCTGCCCACAGGGGCCGTGGGGTGTCAGGCAGAGCTGAGCCCCGCTGGGAAAGGCAGCGATGGTGCCTGGGTTCTGTGGAGAGGAGGTGTGGTGGGGACACGGCCCTGTCCTCAGCATGGCCAGGAGCAGGGGCTATGCAGAGTGGGGCAGCCCCCTGCCTGCCTGCCCCCAGGCTGTGGGACTGGCAGTGCTGCCCCAGGGCTGCTCTGCGGCGACGGGGCGCCTGCCTCACTCGTCTCGCCCTGCGCAGGACGCCAGCGGGCGCGTGATGGAGCTGGAGGTGACCTGCACCAAGGCAGACGTGGCGGACAAGCCCAAAGCCTTCATCCACTGGGTGTCAGAGCCGCTGGCGTGTGAAGTGCGGCTCTACGAGCGCCTGTGAGTACCCAGGCTGCCCGCAGACGCCCAGGCGCAGGGTCAGCGGAGCAGAGCGCTGGGTTTTGCTGCAGCCTGGCCTGGCAGCGTGGCCGGGTGCCAGCAAGCCCTGCTGAGGCAGTGCCTGCCTCTTGGCCGCCGGAAACGGAGCCGCCAGCAGCTTTCTGCCGCTGCCGGCTCTGCGCTCCCTGCAGCCATGCTGGCACCCTGGCTGCATCCCCCTGCCTTGTGCATCGTGCCAGGGCTCCGTGTCCCCCGTGGGGAAGGGACACGCTGCTCCTGGGCAGCACTGCAGGTCTTGGGGGTGCCTGGGAAAGGCCACGTCCACCTGGCAGCAGAGGTGTCCCCGGTGCTTGGTGGGGACGATGCTGCTGTGGGGCTCTGAGCGTGGCTGCCCCCGGGCTGCTGAGGGGCAGAGCTGCCCCTTGCTTGGGGACTTGGGCTGACAGCCCGTCTTTCATTGCAGGTTCTTGCACAAAAATCCTGAGGACCCAGCAGAGGTCCCTGGGGGATTTCTGAGTGACCTCAATCCTGTGAGTAGTAGCAGAAGGGTCCAAAAGGCTGGGGGAGGCTGGGACCCTGCTGCCCCCAAACCAGAGGCACCTGCTGCAGGGCCAACCCTGCTGCTGCCTTTGTGTGGCCCTGGTTTGTCCCCAGCAGCTCCAGGGAGAGGGGCGGGATGGGTTCAGCGCAGAGGGCTGGGGGCAGAGGGGCATCGGCTGCACCCATAAGGCTGCTGAGTGTTCCTGTCCCCCTTGCAGGACTCCCTGCGCGTGGTGGACACCGCCCTGGTCGACAGATCCGTGTTGTCCGCGCAGCCCTTCAGCAAGTTCCAGTTTGAGCGGCTGGGCTACTTCTCCGTGGATCCCGACAGCAGCGCGGGGAAGGTGCGGCTGGGAGAGGCGGGCGGCTCTGTTCCCACGGGCGTCGCGTTGCTCAGAGCTCTCCCTCCCTCTCCCCAGCTCGTGTTCAACCGGACGGTGACGCTGAAGGAGGATCCCGGGAAGGACTGAGGAAGCCGCCGCTGCCGCTTGCAGCCGCCCTGCCTGGCTCTGGGGACGCGCCCCGGCACGGTGATGGCCGCGGCCG